AGCATCCACTCGAGTTCTGTTGTAAATAAAAATATTTTTCTTTAGCCTTAAATAACTATCTAAAGCAAAATCATTACATTTATATATATTTTCTACTAGCTCCTTAGAATGAAAAAATATTGGTAACTTGACGAAAAAACTTGGTAGCTTATAAAAGCGATAAGGGCATCTTATTGCACCAAATTTTACAAAAATTGGTTCAATAAGATAATTCAATAAGATATCTGCTTGAGCCAATGTTTATTTATAAATATATATGTAAAATGTATAAAGAACACGAACCTTCGTTTGAAAGTTTCATGCCTCTTAATTCTATAGGTCCGACTAACTGTTTCTCCATACTTCCATTTTTGTAAATAAATAATGTAGGCAGATTAGCATCAGGAAAATTAGGAATACACGTAGTTGATATACTTTTCAGAAATTTAACCATTGGAAATTTTCTTGCTAATATTGCTAAATGTCGATTAACCAACGAGCACAATGGTATACTAGAAAAATATCAAAAGTCTAAATATATATATCTAATACATTGTATTATTTAACAATATCGAATAATCCTTTAACTAAATAAATTAAAACACCAAACAATTTACTGTACAATATATTTAAACGATATCGCTACCTATTAAAAAAGTACTGTGAAGTAAAAATTAATGTAATACAATGAAATACAGACTTTGCACTTGATTCTTTTGTAAATAACAAATTTTATTTCGCATTAAAACATAACTATAGTTCAGCGTTTCGAAATCAGATGTCGAAAAATTATGAATAAAAACTACTTTCAAAAATATGTTAAAAAAAAGAAAACTCACAGCTAATTGAAATTTACTTTTAAGCGTTAAATATAACAATAAAATAGTTTATATTATTATACTCTTGGTTTTATTTTAAATTCAAATTAAAGCATACCCAGACTTATATAAATGGAGAATAACCCAAACATCTTTTCCGGCTTGATTAACTTCCTGTACATAATCTTGTGCTGATATTTCCATTACGCTACCATACTTTGCTTTACTAGCAACTTCCTGCATTTCTGCTATCCTTTTACGTCGATATTCAAGCAATACTTTTTCATCCTCTTCATCTTCTAATTCGTCGAGTTCGTCCAAAGTTTTATTTTCAAAATCTGTTGCAACTGTAAATTGAAACAAAAATGAATACATTATACTTGCATACAAATATACTAATATAATTACTTAAGCTATAAAAAAAAAAAAATTACCTTTTCCAGTCTTTTGATCAATTGTATTTTTCAATATTTGAATAATCTGCTCCTCCGTCACCTCAACATCTTTCTTTTTCTCAGGAATAATACCTTTTTCTCGAAGAATGTCATTCCATTGAGTATCTTCGTTTGGATCTTGCTAAATAAAAACAACGCTTAATACGAACGACTGTTGCATTACATAAAGGAAAATAATAATTTAATTTTGTAATAATTTTCTTCTATACTTTGAAATTTCAATTATGTCGATAAAATTGTACATCACAGATGAATTATGCAACAATTGAATAATCAACAAAATAAATTATTGAACGCTTAATTGTGTTAATTTTTTAATTAATAAACAGGAATATATTTGCAACGTATCAGTATTAATTTATGGTTAAATATATATAACAAAAAAGTAAAATTAAATAAGTTAATTGAAATTGAGAAGTTTTGAGGATTAATCTTGAGGTCGGTGCTGCCGAAAAAGGTATCAACAAGACAGTCACCAAAATAGCCCAAAAAACTCTCATAAAATCATTGAAAAATCATTTAGAAAGCAAAGAAACTCACCATTTTCACAGACCGTTCATAAAAATTATAATATCTACGAATATTACAATTATTCTCCAGTCAGCGCATTTAAAACAATTTGAAAATAACGAAAATGTGTAGAGTAGCGTTGTTGTTAACTTGGTGAATCACGAAGCAAAATGAGGTTATTTGAGAAGGTCTGATAATCATCGACGGTGATGTGGGCGTGACAAGAAACACCAGCTGACTGTTACTATTAAGAAGTCAGCCTTAAAGTAGTGCACAACTTAAATATTCTTAAACAAAATTGCTTCGTCTCCCATCATAATTGTAAATCCCAATATAATAAAGGATAAAATAAACGGAAGTATTAATCGAGCTTTGCATACAGTAGATTCGTAAAATCTAAAGATTTTTAGTTACGATTTATTTGCGATATTATAATTATAATTTGTTTAATTTATTTATTGTTTATTCGAACATTTCAGTTATACAAAAGTGTGCTGTCTTATATACAAGACAATTTTTTGTTCCTTATTAGCTTCGTCGTAACATTTCATCTTCCTTCATTAAACTTATTGATATATATTGCATATTTAATACTTATTTATAATACGACAAACATTGGATTATTAACTTTTTTTTCGTATTTACAATAGATTATCTCATTGGTATTATTATAAATTTTACAAACAATAAATTATTTTATTTTTACTTGAGAACCTTATTTGTGAACTATTTGTTTTAATCTTTATTAACTCATTATCGTTCGATAAAACCGTTTTAATAAACATTAATAATTAATAAACATTATTATATTTTGGAAATATAGTGCATTAAAATAAAATGTATGAAATAAAAATTGCATATGTGCGTGGTTATTAAAATTCCATTTCATTTAAATTAAATTTCCATATCATCGTAATAAAAAATGGAAATTTTAATTTTCAAATTATGATATTTTTAATAATTACCGAGAAGTTTTAAAAAATGCTTACAAAAGACAAATTTTTAAAAATAATTCTTAATTATTTCATATAACTTGGGCAACACTGTCAAAAAAAAAATAAAAAAAAAAAAAAAAAAAAAAAAAAAAAATCGATCATATATTATATTTATTAATTTATACAAAGTTAAAAATATACAAAAATACTATTAACCATGAATAATAATCTTATTTATTTTATACAAATATATTTATTATAAATTCATATTTTTTTAAGAATTTCATTATTTCTTTCATATAGTTATATAATATTAAATTTAATATACAAAATATTTTAGTACTACCTACATACTATAAAACATTGTACAGAAATGTTAAAGTTGTCAATGTGTAAGGAAATCTTATAAAAACAATTGTAAAAATTCATTATTTTACAACCATACATTACAAGAAAGAATTCTGTAATAATTTTTTCATTACTATTAAGAATAAATAAACATTGAGGAGCTATAATTAAACATAGTCGTTATATTTCTGTCATTTTTTAAACCAATATTTTAAGTTTTAACCTTATGATTTAATCCAGTACTATTAATAATCTACATCATTAATTTATAATTTTATCATATTATAACTTAAACTATATTTATTGGCTATATATTATGACTTGACATTGTGTACTAATCAACAATACATGTGTCTTGAATAACGAAATTGTTAACAAAATTAATAAATTTACTACTTTTATTGTAATATTGTTATAATAATATTTATAAAGCTTTGTTTTGGTAATGGTAAAGTTTTATAATAATTATAATAAATAGACTTATTTTATTTATTTATAAGAGGATGAAGAGTACTATTAACAGATACTTTTTCATTGCCATCATTATCATATAAACTGCAATTCATATTTTGTTTCTTGTCATAAGTCACATTTCAAATTGAATTTTGTTTGCTTCAAATCAATTGATAAATTTTTTTCTTTCTAACTTTTATTAATAAATTTTAACATTGTCTCTATAATTAATATTATTATAATACTCTATAATATAATCTCAGGTAATTTGTCATCTTTCAATTTAGCTTTTCTCTTGCATAAACCTGCTGGAACTTTTTTATTATTTCTCTATTTAATACTGCAGTCGTTGAACAACTGCTCCTATAAAAATTTTCAGCTTTGTCACTTAACATCATTATTTCACTATATTCTAAAACATTATTAAGATAAATTAAGTTGAAATTTTTACAAATGTACATAATACAAATAAATATTGAATTGTAAATGTTATAAATTAATATATATTGTTAATATTATTTTTCCAAAATAATTTGCTAGTTAAAATATATTTATAATAAACAACTGATAATATTAAGGAAAATTTTAAAAGAAAATCTTATGTGGAATATCAATTTTTTAATGTGCATAGTACAATACTAGAAATGTATATTGATTGACAATTTTGAAAAATTTAAATAACTCAATTTGAATTAATTTATAATGGAGTACTAATATAAATTTTCAAACTGTACTGAAGAACTTAAAAAACTAACTTTTACTATTTATAGAAATGAATTTCTTTTACCGTTTTTTCTATTTATATCTTACAATAGTAGTTGTATATCTGTGCATTTGTATATTATATATAATTTTAAGATATTACGTGTATTCTTAAATAAAATCATGTCTGGTCAATATCTGTGAAACATAATAATAAAGGTTTTTTTATTAATATTTTATAAATTAATTATATTTGACTGAAAATTAGAATGTTATAGATGTTTATATATATATATATATATATATGTGTGTTTGTGTTTGTGTGTGTGTGTGTGTGTGTGTGTGTGTGTGTGCGCGCGCGCGCGCGTGTGATTGCGTATCTTTATAACACATTATGCAATGCACAAAACCAACTGCTTATACTATATTTAGAATCTGCGTAATGATTAACGTTTTTACCAATTAAATAATCAAGACGTAAAATGAGCGACGAATCATGTAACGGTAGAAGGAATTAATCGACAGATTAAAATCTTTCCGTGTTACTAGTCGCCGAAAACCCTCTTAATCTTCGAAATGAAATACTGATCTTTATATACACTGCAATGGATCATCTTTCACTCCTCGAGATGACTATCAACATATACATATCCATAGAATTTAAAATATACATAGAGCATTGATTATTACTAAAGACAAAAGTCTTGAATGCAAAATAGTATAAGAGGTATAGAAAATATAAATAATATTTGATGCCGATAATTCGTTAAGTTCATATGTAATTAGGAAAGACTCGAAACATTCAGCATTTAGTTTCTTTTAATGAATTTTCTAATTTATACGTGAAATATGAAGAACCAAAGCTTTAAATTATCCTTGCATTCAACGAAATTTTCACGTCGCTTATTGCAAAAGCAACTTCACCCTAACAATCAATGGTACAATTTTGTATAGCCTGATAAATGGCACAAATGGAAAATTAATTTAGTAACTCACACACCTTTTAATGATTAACTCGAATAAGTGACAATATTTATTAACGTTTCATTTATAGAAAGTGAACAATAGAAATTTCTTCTTCATTGCTTAAGACACTTTATAGAAGTCTCGCGCGTGGCGTTAATTAAATTTTATATACAATATTATAATTTTTGTTATTAATTTTTTTTTATAACTGACCATACGGCTTTAAATATTTATTTATTAACATCAAATTATAATTTAATTTTACATATAAACTTTTAAATAGACATTTTTTCAAAATTTATCATACAAGTAAAAGACGAAAACAAAAAGTTCCAATACGATTCTCTTAAAACATGAAAAACAAGGTTGAAAATACAAATATCAAGTACTTCATTGCCAATGAAGTATAAGTCTAGAAGTATACATTTTATTCAATTATAATTTGGCTAATTCATATGCACTAATCATGATGTGCGGCGAACTTCGAAAGCCAATAGCATTAAACAAAGGCGCGAAAAAATGTTTAAAAATAAATAAAAATAATTCGTTAATGCTTTAGACGTACTTTGATTAGAAGCTCTTGAACACTATAGTATCTGTTATATAATTTTTCGTCATCTTTGTCGATCAACGCAATTACAAAAACTAATGAGCACGTATCATTTTTAATGGACCATATTAATAATAATAATAATAATAATAATGATAATAATAATAACAATAATAATAACAATAGTAATAATAATAACAATAATAATAATAGTAATAATAATAACAATAATAATAACAATAATAGTAATAATAATAATAATAATAATAATAATAATAATAATAATAATAATAATAATAATAATAATAAAATGGAACCTTAAGGTTGTCGGTTCCAGTAACAACCTTTTTGATTTGAAAGACTCGAGAACGAGGATACAAACGAATCTACCACTCGTAAATATAACGACTACTTATCTCGAAAGAATATAGCTTGTCTTTAACTTCTGTCTTTACACTGTCTTACTTCGACGCGCAATTGAACAAATTTATATGATTATTTCTTAGTATTTTTCCTCTGATCGAGCGTCACAACGGCCGTGCAACGATTTAAAAAATGCCGCTTAGAGATTCGCACCAATGTTAGGGTGAAATCATCGGTAATGATCGGTAGTCGGTACGCAAATTCCCGCAGCACATGTTAGTATCGATAAAATGCATGTTACATTATAGCTTCAACATGGCGCTAAACCCCCATTGTACTCCACCCCGCCGAAAGCTCTCGTCCGTTACTTACTCCCCCTTATTACCATATATTCGTGAACATTTTCCAAAACACACATAACTCACGCATAAGTGCGTAGCAATTCAAGCAAATTCTTTAAAATCCTTATGAGCCCAGTACTAGCAGTCGGGCGTGTGAAAAGTGGTATGGGAAGCAGGAGGAGGAGAATGAGAGAGAGAGAGAGAGAGAGAGAGAGAGAGAGAGAGAGAGAGAGAGGAAGAGAATAGAATAGGCGCCAACCGCCAGTCTTGACTCTTACCCTAAATACCTGCAGCCTCGTTAAATACTGAAACACCCGAGACGTACATTGTAATTAATAATACATCGCAAAAAGCCCTGCACGCAGTCCCTGTATTCGCGCGTGCACGCGCAAGCGCATCTATGCACAAAGCGTAACGACATCATCGACAGTCGGTGCTGAGATTGCGAATGACGGGGCAATTGGCCGGCCGGCAGCGTCATCGGTGCGATTGTTGTCGATGACATTGATTTTCGGCCGGGCGACGGCGGCACCTAAAAGCACGCACCCGAGAAAAATACAACGTGCGTTAATGGCGAACCGCCGCGGCATTGGCGAATCAACGAAGGGGCACACGTACACACACACACACACACACAGCCGACCCCACGTACAGGGCATAAAGAGAATCCCGTCTCCTCCCGCCGGCGGCTCCTCGTCAGCGCTCGCGCGCCGCGACACAGCCAAGTCGACGGCGTGTTTACATCCGCGGGTCCGCGCACACAAGCGCAGCACCCCAGGAGAGAAAGAGAGGAGCCGCTGTTTCGCCTTCCTCTCTCCCGCGGCTCGCTCACGGTCGAACGGGGGCTTCGCGAGTCGTGGTGGCGGCGACGGCGGCAGTCGTTGTTGGACCGCGCGCACGCGTACCTCTACGGTGACTTTTGCGAACGACCGTGTTGGCCCCCCCGAGTAGCGCCCCGCCGTGAAAACCGAGGAAGAAGCGGGGAACGAGTGCGTCCTCGTCCCCCTCCCCGTCGACGCGCGTCCGCACAGACCACCTGCGAGAGCGACGCACCCCGGTGCCCCGCAAGAGGTTAGAATGCCGAAGGCCCTCTGAGTGTCGTCGGCGATCCTCGTTCACGAATACGACGACGACGACGACGTGAGAAAGAGAGAGAGAGAGAGAGAGAGAGAGAGGTAGAAAGAAATAGTGTGAGAGAAAGAGAGTGAGTGATCGGGAGGGACGGGAGAGGAAGTGGAAGAGTGTGTAGCTGGCGGGGCCAGGAGGTGGTCCTGGAGAAGCTCGACGAGGGAGCGAGAATGGGCAGGAAGAAGGCACCGTAGGGACGCGGTGGCATCATCGACAGCGGCAGCGGCAGCACAACAGCAGCCGAAGAGGTTCATTCATGTGACGCGGTGCGCGTCGCCGGGCCTCGTCCCCACTTGAGGGCGCGCATGCGGTGGCCGCGAGGCGACTCTCGATGGCACCACGCCGCCGAGACACGAGACTGAGGGCCAGCCGAGGACCCTGTTGCGGATGACCAGCCGGATTTATGGCGGCTCGGGTGCTCTTGCTCAGCATCTTGTTTACTGAAGTCTTCTGGCCCGTCTGTCCCGCAGGTGCGTTTGCTACTTCTCTCTTAATCCACTCTCCTTTCTTCTCTTCTCGCGCGAGGAATGTGCCGACGGTCGTTTTGTCGTACTCCTACTGCTCCGGCCGCTACCACTACTTATACTTTAACTTCTCCTTCAGCATCAACATCAACATCAACATCAACATCAACTTCAATTTCAACTTCTACTACTTCATCTTCTACCATTCCGCTACTTTTACTGCTACTTCTTCTAGTAGTACCTGTGTACAATCGCCACCATCACCACCACCACCGCGACTACTTCCCCTCTTCCACGCTTTATCTCTTCCGGTCTTCTTGCCACTCCGTCGTTTGTTTCCTTCCTGCCTCGAGAGCAGCGTTACCCTCTGCCTCTTAATTATTAGGGAATCGAATGTTTTGCGAACTTGTACGCTCAGCATACGCGCTCCGCCTCCTCCTCCTCCTCCTCCTCCTCATCATCATCATCATCATCATCATCATCATTATCATCATCATCATCATCATCATAATTATCATCATCATCATCATCATCATAATTATCATCATCATCATCATCATCATAATTATCATCATCATCATCATCATCATAATTATCATCATCATCATCATCATCATAATCACCACCACCTTTCCGCTCGACGTTTTTCTCGCGCTACTACTCACCCCTTCATTACTCGGGGGAGTCGATCGGTCCACGGGCTATGAATCCCAACATACGTGGAGACGTATGTTTACGCGTTCGGAGTGAAAGCACGTCGCGGAAAATTTGGCGCGGCGCTCTAGTTTATACGCTGCTCGTGCTTCCCAACGGTATGCGTGCCTATGGCTTTTCAAACGACGGAAAATCTACATCTATTACTTCACCATTTTTCAATGGGGGCTCGTTTCCTCCTCTTTTCTTCCTCCTTCTCCTCCTTTATATAGAGCGTGGTTAGATTTTATTCGACCTCTATCCCTCTCTTTTGCATGCTTTTTATTAATGTGTGCTTTGCTGTCGACATGGCACGTAGAATAATGCTGAGAGACGAAGGGTAATAGCGCCTTCGCTTACGGACCAATTCGACTAATCCGAATTATATACCAACAACTTGTTTTTGGATTATTCGATAAAAGCGTTATGTTAATAAAATTCATGAGCCATCATCTTTCTTACTACTGTTTGTCATTTATAATAAGCCATTGTATTGTTATACCGTGCATGCTTATGTACTTTAATTTTAACGCATTCTTAGTACCTCGATTGATTGATTGATTAATTAATCTAAAGTTGATAATGAATCCCTATTGCCTCTGCCTGTACTGTGATGCGCCGTACCGCCTAAACAGCTCCATCGATGAATGGCACTTGAAATTCAATCGATACTCTTGAACGATTCAAATAATGCTGGGTGCGTTCAATTCGGGGTCGGTGTATCAGACAGACCGTTAATCTCCATCGGGCCAAGCCTTTCTCTACGTATCGACGGTTTCGTTAAATTGTTTACTCGTTAAGATGCTCCCACCACCATCGCCTCCCAGTTCGCCACGGACTCGTGAATTCGCGCGAGTAAAAGTGCCCCCGATGTCTTATCTTCGGCAAACGCAGCCGGCCGGTTTTATTTCAATTGTCGCGCAATCGACGCTTACGGTGCACATTGTTTCGCAAACGTGCGTGCATTCACGTAATCGTCGGCTGTTTACTGCCGGAGCGCGGCGTCCTTACCTCCGGCAAAATAAGGTCCCTCGAAATCTTAATGCACGTTGTTTCGAGCCGCGGGTTGCTATGAGCCGAGATGGGCTGACTTGACAGCGGCTGGAACAATTGAAGGGAGAGGTGAGGGGGCACGGCGATGACGTCGCGTTCGATTTTTGCAAATAGTGACTTGGTTGATTCGTAGCGCCGGCAAAGTGAAAGAAAAAACAAAGCAAAACAAAAAAAAAAAAAAAAAAAAAAACAAAC